TCTCTCTCTCTCTCTCTCTCTCTCTCTCTCTCTCTCTCTCTCTCTCTCTCTCTCTCTCTCTCTCTCTCTCTCTCTCTCTCTCTCTCTCTCTCTCTCTCTCTCTCTCTCTCTCTCTCTCTCTCTGTTTCGCTCGCTTGCTCTCTCTCTCTCTCTCAGTCTACGTCTACCCAATCACCGGACAAACTAAACAGGATTGCGCGCACACGGCTTTTTGCGTAGAGTCGAACCTGCGTAGCAGGTCGAAAACAACGTTATCGACCCATCGGGGGACGAGCCGAGGAGACGGGGGCCGGTAGCGACTCGAACACGCACACGAGAACATTCCAACACGCATAGAACACGGGCCGGGAACAGGCCCGAGGTAAGGTAAGTAGAGAATATATAACCGGACTTGTTGTCTGTCCGGCACGCGTCTTCTTCGATGTGGAAACCCCGCGACTCACGCACCCGCCGTCATCGCATCGGCGACCGCTCCAACACCGCGCCTCTAACACCGCGCCTCTAACACGCGCCTCTAACTCGCCATCAACCGGCTAATCCGCTCTACCGTCGCTCTAACACCGTGCCTCTAACACGCCATCAACCGGCTAATCCGCTCTAACGTCGCTCCAACACCGCGCCTCTAACACGCCATCAACCGGCTAATCCGCTCTAACGTCGCTCCAACACCGCGCCTCTAACACCGCGCCTCTAACACGCCATCAACCGGCTAATTCTCTCTAACGTCGCTCCAACACCGCGCCTCTAACACGCCATCAACCGGCTAATTCTCTCTAACGTCGCTCCAACACCGCGCCTCTAACACCGCGCCCCCAACACCGCGCCTCTAACACGCCAGCAACCGGCTAATTCTCTCTAACGTCGCTCCAACACCGCGCCTCTAACACGCCAGCAACCGGCTAATTTACTCTAACGTCGCGATATAAAAAAAATAATACCCCCTCCCCCTCCATCCCGACAAACAACAAAACATATATAGTTCAATTTAAGCATCGCCACCGTTTGCCATTCATGATTAGCACACCAGCAAGATTTTCTGGGGCACGCCACGTCGCCCACGCGCTATCCCCGACTCGTGAAGACAGGGGGCGCCGCCTGCCGTCCTCCGCAAAACGCTCGCACGCCGAACCCTTCCCCGCAGCGGCGGCAGGGATGTAGGACTCCTCGCGCCCGCGACGACGACGACGACGACAACTCAGGAGCAGCAGCCTCCCTTCTTCTCCGTGCCGCCGGCCCCCGCGCCGCCGCCGCTGCCCAGTCGCACCCTGTCGCCGGCGGCGACGCCACCCGCGGCGGCGGCGTCGTCGTACGCGAGCGCGCGGTCGTTGGCGAGGATGCGGGTGACGAGGAAACGCGCCGCCTCGTCGATGTTCACGTTCTCCTTCGCCGACGTCTCGAACCAGCGAGCGAAGCCGCGCTCGCCGCAGTAGTCGTCCATCTGCGCCGCGTTCGCGACCAGCCCCTCCTTCGTCTGGTCGCACTTGTTCGCGAGCAGCACGCACGGGATCGGCGTGCCGTCGGCGAGCTGCACCTTGCCGTCGAGGTCGTTCTTCCACTTCTGCACGGCCTCGAACGTCGACGCGCGCGTCACGTCGAACACGACGAACGCGCCGACCGCCTCCTTGTAGTAGACGCGCGTCATGTTGCCGAATCGCTCCTGGCCGGCGATGTCCCAGAGCTGCAGCCGCACGAGCGTGTCTGCGTCCCAGTTGATGACCTTGAGCGCGAAGTCGACTCCGATGGTCGCGCGGTAGTGCTGCGAGAAGAACTGGTGCACGTATCGCTTGATGATCGACGTCTTTCCGACGCCGAGTTCGCCGATGACGAGGATCTTGTAGAGGTGTTCGCGTTTCTCGCTCATCGCTCGCCGCCGCCGCTGCTGCTCACCTGCAAACACAAATAAGTGTGTG